CAAAATACCGTTCGATTTTATGCGTATACTGCAGAAGGGAATTCAACGCAGAACTACACTGCATGCAAAAATATAGTAATTCGTTTAAAATACATTCCATTTTATACAAATGTATGCCTGCATACATAATTGCAATGTTTCAGTAAAATAAAGCCAGAGAAAATACTACTCACGGGCTTAATTTCCTTCTTTATGAAATAAATCAAGCGGGCGTTATTTCCTTTTCTTTGGGAAATAAATCCCGCGGGAATTATTGCCAAACTATTAGACAACGATAATTACAAATCCATAGTCAGATTAAAGAAATTGATGATGGTGAATAAAAATGCATATATGCAGCCTTTTTTGGCTATTTTGAATTTTCTAAATTCGTATAGCTCGATTGGGCTAACTGTTTGCGAAATATTGAATTTGTTCCGCTTTTCGTTTATTTGGAACCACGGTGCGCCGCATAGAGCCAACTTTGCTACATATTTATTAAACTGCATCACCAAAAAAAGTTGCGGGTTTTCGAGTTGCGAGATTACAAAATTTATTATATTTTGAGACGTCCACCAAAATATTTCGGAAAAATATTAAGATTTAAGCGATCTGGACCGATTTGAAAATACCTCCAAAAATTGAGTTATTTATGAATAAAAATAGTTTCTTAAAGAAGTTTTTGAAAAAAGTCTACTCAAATGACAAAACAGCTTAAAAACTCTGCATAAAAGTATTTAAAAAACTTATCAACGGAATCATAATAATGAGATTTTTGATGCTGTTTTTTTACTTTTTTCAAAGATTGATTTACGAAAAACTTAAATAACTGGGCCAAAACTATTATGATTTAGACTTGTGGGATCTCGGAAGAAAGGTATTTTCCCACTATATTTATTTATGTGCAAAAAAATCATTCGTGTCCCTTTTTTTCAAATACCAAAACATCTTAAGTCAACTTTGAATGATGATCGTTCATACTCCCTCTCTCTTTCATCCTTTGAATGAGCTTATTAGCAGAGAAATAAAAGGGGTGATTGGAAATACCTTTCCAATGATACCTCACATGTCCAAATCGGAAGAATTTAGGTTCAGTTATTCAACCTATTTATTATCATTTATTAAGTTATATCAATCTTTGAAAAAACTTAAATAACGATATAACTGCAATAACGAGCGAGAAATTACGCCCATGGATTTATTTCCTAAAAAAAAGAAACAAAGCCCGCGGGCGTTATTGCCTTTGCGAAAAAGAATTTAAGCCTGCGGGCTTTATTGCCCTTTGCCGGTGGGTACTATTTTATTTCCGATATGGCAATAACGCCCGAGGTCTTCATTTCCTAAACAAATTTTATTTTGGCTCTTGTCTCCATTTTCCTTTACTATAAGAAGAAATTGAAATTTACTAAGTTCAATGCATGTAATTAATACATATGTTTGTATGTATGTACATGTGTATGAAAATTAAATAATTCAAAGTTTCAACAAAAAAAGGAACATGAAAAATACCGTTCGATTTTATGCGTATACTGCAGAAGGGAATTCAACGCAGAACTACACTGCAGCAAAAATATAGTAATTCGTTTAAAATACATTCCATTTTATACAAATGTATGCCTGCATACATAATTGCAATGTTTCAGTAAAATAAAGCCAGAGAAAATACTACTCACGGGCTTAATTTCCTTCTTTATGAAATAAATCAAGCGGGCGTTATTTCCTTTTCTTTGGGAAATAAATCCCGCGGGAATTATTGCCAAACTATTAGACAACGATAATTACAAATCCATAGTCAGATTAAAGAAATTGATGATGGTGAATAAAAATGCATATATGCAGCCTTTTTTGGCTATTTTGAATTTTCTAAATTCGTATAGCTCGATTGGGCTAACTGTTTGCGAAATATTGAATTTGTTCCGCTTTTCGTTTATTTGGAACCACGGTGCGCCGCATAGAGCCAACTTTGCTACATATTTATTAAACTGCATCACCAAAAAAAGTTGCGGGTTTTCGAGTTGCGAGATTACAAAATTTATTATATTTTGAGACGTCCACCAAAATATTTCGGAAAAATATTAAGATTTAAGCGATCTGGACCGATTTGAAAATACCTCCAAAAATTGAGTTATTTATGAATAATTCTTAAAGAAGTTTTTGAAAAAAGTCTACTCAAATGACAAAACAGCTTAAAAACTCTGCATAAAAATATTTAAAAAACTTTTCAACGGAATCATAATAATGAGATTTTTGATGCTGTTTTTTTACTTTTTTCAAAGATTGATTTACGAAAAACTTAAATAACTGGGCCAAATCTATTATGATTTAGACTTGTGGGATCTCGGAAGAAAGGTATTTTCCCACTATATTTATTTATGTGCAAAAAAATCATTCGTGTCCCTTTTTTTCAAATACCAAAACATCTTAAGTCAACTTTGAATGATGATCGTTCATACTACCTCTCTCTTTCATCCTTTGAATGAGCCTATTAGCAGAGAAAAAAAGGGGTGATTGGAAATACCTTTCCAATGATACCTCACAAGTCCAAATCGGAAGAATTTAGGTTCAGTTATTCAACCTATTTATTATCATTTATTAAGTTATATCAATCTTTGAAAAAACTTAAAAACAGCATCAATAATCTCATTATTACGATTCCGTTCAAAAAAAATTTTGTGGTGTAAATTTTTTAAGCTTAACCCGTTTTGTCATTTGAGCGGGTTTTTTCAAAAAACATCTTTAAGAAACTATTTTAATTCATAAAAAACTCCATTTTTGGAGGTGTTTTCTAAGCGGTCCAGCTGGCTTAAATCTTAATATTTTTCCGAAATATTTTGGTGGACGTCTTAAAATATAATAGATTTTATAATTCCAATGGAAAAACAGTACCGATTTTTTTTTTTTTTTTTTTTGTATGGGGAGTGATGTAGTCTAATATTTATACTATAAATTAAAGAAAATATCAGCTCTAAGACGTTTTTCAACAGAAGTTTTAACTTTGTAATACATTGGACTGGAATTGTTAATGTTTTCTTCTTTTTACTAAGTCCGCAAAAACAACAATTCATTGGTTTACTGACTTCAAGTAAAAAACGCAATTTTTGCAAAAATTATTACTTCAAATTATTCGCTAAAATGCTAACAATACAATATACTTTTACAAATATACTCGCAACCCAATGTGTTCCCATGTGAAAGATCGCGGGGCAAATACTTTACCTTGATATACACATTTCATATATATGTATATATGTACTTATATACATATGTATGCATGTATATACATACAATTATCCACACTTATGCGCTTACAATGTGCGCACATGTATGTTAGAGACCTGCACGAGTAAGTAAATATATAGGTAACAAGTTAATAATCGCCGAGTATGAATAGAAACGATGCGAATATTTGAATTTAAATTTGACATCGTAGACAAATTATCGTTTTACTTGGTAGCAAACGGATATTTTTTTCATCATTCATCATTTTCATATGAGACGTTTAAGGCTGATTCACATACAACTTTCTTCGCTTTGCTTGATAGTTCTTTGCTTTGACATATAAGATCGATGTAGGCATATGCATGAGTACGCTCACATAAAAAACGTTTGAAGCAAAGCAAAGCAAAACGAAGCAAAATCTTGGGCAACTCTCAACTTTTGCCCGCTTTGGCGATCAGCTGTCTACATGTATCTTTTCTCGTGCGCTTGCATTTGCATTTAATGACAAAAATAGGGTAAATAGTAATTTTTATTGCTATTATTAATGCTTATTATTATATTGTTATCTATTTTACAGATAAAAAATATGGAGGAAAAGGAGAACGCAAAAGCTGTCAAAGCGTTTATTGTAGCATACCTTCTGCGTTTCACGCTTTGTTGTCAAAGTTTGAACTGTCAAGCAAAGCGAGGAAAGTTGTATGTAAATTACGATGAGCGAAGTTCAATTTGAAATATTTGTCAAAACGACAAAACTTTAAAATTTATTGAACGCGTAACAGGCTAACCTAATATTCACGCACGCCAATTTATTGTCAAAAATTTCTCATGCACATGCAACTTGTATTAGATCAACCGAAATTGAACGGCGTGCGTATGAAGCTAACTCAATTTCCAATTTTTGTTCTGTGTGACATATTGATTTGACGTTTCGCTCAATGAAATCAAATGCAAACGCATGCAAGTCAATTTCGGGTGACGCAAAAAAACAAATTCGACGGCATGCGTACCAAAACGCAAGCCGCGAATATTAGGTTAGCCTGTAAGCATTAGAAAGAAAAATTTTACGGCAAAACAGAAGTGCTAAATAAAATAAAATCGGGCGAATATTTCGCGATTGGAGCAACAGTCTCCAGTCACGTATGGTAAAGCTCTAAACAAATTATAAATTCTGCACGTCTGAAGTAGTTCTGCAAAGCGTATTTTATAGGGCAAAAGAACATATTTAGAAAGTTAAAGCTTGGAGGATGCAACACAACACAGTTCTCTATTATAAAATACATATGAATTATGAAATTAAATAAAAAGTTCAATAAAGGTTGTTTTTACAATTAATTCACTTCTTCTTTAGCCGGTAAATTATTAAATCTTTTGATTTATTTCGTTATTAATAGCGATGTCTCAAACATGTGTATTTGTTACATTTCTCTCAACTTTTCCCACGTGACGCGCTTGCGGCGAAGCCAAAATTGTAATCGTCTGATGCTGCTAATACTCGTACTCATACGATGCCGGAATCCCTCGTGCAGGTCTCTAGTAGGTATGCAGCTAGCTGAGGAACCTCTTAGAATTGTTTTGATTTAAAATTATTAACCCAATTTATTAACATAAGTGTGCTAATAATATTTTGAATTGAACACTCGCCAGCGTGCCATAGCGCACGCGTTCCCGCGCATTACTTACCACCTCGACCAGGCAGGCCCAAAGTCCCGACAAATACAGCGGCATCGACACGTCAATGGCGGTGGCAAAACTTTCAAAACTTTGCTAAAATTTTGTCATTTTACACCTTCGCATATTTTCAGTTGCGACATGAAGCTGCGCGAATAAAGTCGAAAAATATTTCTGAGCACATTTAACAACAATTAATGAAACTCCGTGAGAATAAAAGACGATAACTTGTGAAACACAATTTTGGTATCCTAAGAGCACTACACATAATAAACTTGCAAATAGAAACACAAAGAACAAAGCAACAACATAACATGTCAGAGTTGCAAGTATTTACCACAAATTCCACAATCAATACTCCAGACACAGTGGAGCTGTTCGAGCTGCCTCAGAACTATTCGATACTCATTAACAAGCTGGAACGTCTGGCACTTGGTCTAGACTCCACATTTGGCAACATAACAGTGGATCGCAAGGAAGTCGAAGTGGCGGTCAGCGGGTCAAATGAGTTCCTCGATTCCTTCGCTGGCCCACTGGTTACTGGTCAGATATCCCAGCATCACGTCATACATCCGCATCATGAGACCGAGATACCGGCAGTGGTCAGCGACATTTGGATTGGTGTGATACTCACGCTGCTTATTGTATCGGTGATATTTTTCATTTGCTCCTGCTTTTTGTATCACAAATTCCAACAATGGAAGAATTCATGTAAGTAAAAGAGACGTTAATTTCTGAATGAAGAATTCTGAAAATCATAACGGAGAATAGTTGAGATAAACTTTTAACAATTTCGATTTATGATTGAACAGGCGCCTCCCACCACAACCATGGATGGCCAACTCGGCAAATGTTTTATTATTTTTAAAACTCAACAGTTACAAAGAAATCTTCATATTTCGATAATTGATTAAGATAATTGGATAATTCTAGGATGCCAGTAAAAGGAAAAAATAACTATCCATTTCCGGTTTCCACGACATGAAACAGCCATTACTTTGATTGTCTCATAAAAGGAGATCCTTATTTATTTCGTTATGTTATGATTTTTTTCGATGAAAAATAATCGCTATTAATTGAGTTTTCGAATTTTTCGTATGTACGTATATGTAGTTGCGTTTTTATGAACACATTCAATTCGTTGCAATCAACAAGCCGAAATCTAAAGATAGAGGTCCCAATACTATTGAAAAGTTTTTATTAAAAAATAACGACAACTCTTGGTTGAAAAAATCAAAATATAACTATTAAGATTGCAAGCTAACTATTAAGATTGCAAGCTAACTTGCGGGTTGAATGGTCAATTCACCAGCACTTTCACCCTTTTTTACAAGCTTTTATTAAGTTTCGCCTTCATGTGTAATCAAAATTTACAATCAATTTTTAACCATATTTCCGATGAGCTGGATACTTGAAACTTCCAGCTTGGCTCATAACCCGATGAAAATGCCGTATGAAAGATTAATTAATCCGATAGGTGGTGCAAGTGTAGAGATATTTGAAAACCCCGTATTTATGGTCCGTTTTGTTTTTTATTTAGAACTTATATTACTTAAATGGAAAGAAATAACTTCAAATAATTTAGTCGTTAACGTGGACCGCGGGTCGATTTTTTCTTTTTTTACTAACCACTAATAAAACTTTTCTTAGAATTTTTTTTCATTAATTATGTCAAATTACGTATTAGCTCGTGCTCAATTTTACTTTTAAGACAATATTCACTTTTTTTCAAGTTTAACAGCTGATCACAGCTTTGAACATGACAATGGCAAATCGCCCATTAAATTGCTTGTGGCCTACACAGTGTTAAATTCAAGTGATTTTGACAACCCCTACAAACAAGAAAGATAAAATTTGAACGTGTAACTTTGAGGTAAGACATACACTGGGGATCAAAACCGATTGTATGTACGACTTTTTATTACTTACAGTAACATAACTTTTTTAATAATAAGCGGATTCCTTTGAAATTTCCAGCAATTGGTCCTAATTATCTAAGGAATAAAGCCTAGTATACAAAAAAAAAAAAAATAAACTTATAAAAGAAACGAGCGATACACAGCAAAATCGCAAGGCAACTCTAATCACTCAGTTTTGAACTTTTCTGTTTTGAGATTTAGGAGGTTGATATCAAGAGGATTGTGGAGACTACCTTGTCTTTAATAGCGATTTGCATACGTCTGGATATGCTCTCTACTGAGTTTTCAATGATTTCGCTTGGAATATTACCCCGTTATAATTTTACTCGACTCCAAAACTCTTCCATGTTCTTCGTAGCTCGCTTGTGCTTTGCTAATCCTCTCTTGACCACAGCGCTCAGTTTTTCGATGGCGTTGAGGCCTGGGATTTGTGCTGGCCACTGCATTACCTGAAAATTTTGCTCCAGCAGCCGGCGGTATCGAATAATTTTCAGAATCCTTTGGATCTCCGTCCTGATGGCAAACAACTTCTTCCTCAGGGTATGCGCTTTAGGCTACAAAGTAATATTCCAAGAAATCATGGAAAACTCAGTAGAGAGCATATCCAGACGTATGGAAATCGCTATTAAAGACAATGGAGTCTCCAGAAAAGTTCAAAACTGAGTGAATAGAGTTGACTTGCGTTTTTGCTGTGAATCTCTTGTTTCTTTATTAAGCTTAGTTTTTCTGTATACTAGGCATCCGCTTATAATTGAAAAAGTTATGTTACTGTAAGTAATAAAATGTCGTACAAGCACTCGGTTTCGATCGCCAGTGTACATAAGTACATAGATTTTGCTCATACGCCATGCCCCACGTTAGAAATCATGTCCTCACACATGTACTTATGTATGTTCATACATAGTATTTGTGTACCTAAAAAATACATAAATACCTTCAAAAATGCGCAAAAATAGATTTGCAAAGATAACTATTGTTATGCAAAGTAAGTCTCATTAGCGACATTAGCTATTACCCTTCTCTCTTTTTCCCATCTTCTTTGCAACCAACTGCTACGCACCCACTGAGCTTTAGCATAGATACATAAGTAATGGAAATGTATCAAGTAAACTTTTGCACAGAGGCGGATCTAAACTCTGTTGAAAAAGGTGTGTTTTTCACATTTCCTCATCGTAAGCTATCCCAAAAAAACAAGGGCTTTTCTGTCTTCTCGGAATTAGATAGAGAAGCAAAGCGAATGGGTCTGGTGGGGAAGGAGGACAAAATGAAGTATCTCCTGTCATCAGACAAACAGTCAGAGTATAATGGCGTTTTCATTTCTACAAAATATGTTGCCTCTTATTTGCCCGGTTCTTAGGGCAGTTTTCACCATCTCTGGTTAACACTAATCCCCAGTTAAACATTGTTACCGACGTTTCTGACTCCATGCATATAACATTGTGTCGATAACGTCGGTAACGATGTTTAACTGGAGATTAGTGTTAACCAGAGATGGTGAAAACGGGCCTTAGTGTTTATGCTTAGAGGGCAATGAGGAGGTAACATTTTTCGGTAGAAACGAAAACGCTATAAGTGTCTTGCCACCCACGTCACTGTTGACAGTTACAAGTCTGAAAAAGTAGACGACTTCGTTCATTTAGGAACCAGCATTAACAGCAATAAATAATAATGTCAGCCTTGAAATCCACGATTGAGAGAATACAAAGGTTGCGCCGATCTCGCACCGCTATTCCTCTCTTAACGAATTTGACAGAATCGTTGTTTGCATGACGTCACACTGGTGCAACATGTTTACGTTTTCCTTGCAACATTTTTTCTTCTTCTTCCATTCTTGCTCACGTTTTGGCATTTCTCTCTCGCAATTGCACCAGTGTGACGTCACACAAAAGTTATTCTCAAAAATCCTCTCTGATCGGCGCAATCTTGTATTCTATCATTCTTGCTTGAAATCCAATGGACTAGTAGGCTATTGAGAAGTAAATTCCTCTCTCGTCGTACAAAAATCACACTCTATAAAGCTAAGTGTACACGGTAGAGAAAAAACGCTAGATTTAGACAAAAATCTCACTAGAGACGTGTAAACACTCAATAGAGCTCTACGAGAGACTCACCTACAAAGTCTATGTGAGAGTTATTTAGCGAGATTTTTTCGCCGTGTACACAGTCCAACGAAGCTAGATCGAAAACTCTACGACAACTCTACGCTCTATTTAACAAGCTAAATAGACTTTTTGCTCTACGGAGACGTATTGGCTAGTTTTGACAATGAATTTCATTACAGATTGTTAAATTTTGAAATGGCTGCGACATTAAATCATATATTCGATACAAGCACACAATTTTAAGTGCAATTAGAACGTAGCCAAATAATGTACCCTCTTATCTTCATCGGTATATCAATGGATTTTCCAATAGCCTCCGTCCTTTGCAAAGGGGCATAATTATTGGTTAAAACATAAGGGGTATTCACAAATTGAGCAGGTGGTCTAGCACTCTGGCAATAGTCGTTGCTTGAGTTATCGGCTGTTTTGTCAGAGTGCCAGGCCATTTGCTCAACTTGGTGAATACCTACATACATATATGTAGTAGTTGGGCTGGAATTTTAAATATTAAAGGTTGTATGATGCGAGTCCAAAGTAAAAGTACACATAGTACCGAAGATAAAGGTTGCCATGTTTAATTTTTAAGTGTATTTGTCTACTTTTATGTAAAATTTTTTTCAGCAAATAAGCACAATTTGAAAATTTAATTCTTGTTCATATTGCGAAAATGTATTTCATGACGTCAGAAAATAGGTGAATGCTGTCAAATTGACGAAGGGTTAGCGCTCCGCTGATGGCGTCAACTATATTTTCTACATTGTGGCTTTGATATAAATACATATATACATACCACAAGCGTTGACAACAATTCGAGATAGAAAACTAACTCTAGGCGAGAGGTAACTATTGTCCGTGTACACAGCTTGTAGAGTACGTGATAGATAAAAGTTGAGATTTCTCTATTTTGTCTCTAGCTATAGTGAATGTCTCCTAGAGTTGATCTACCGTGTAAACTTAATCGAGAGAGGAGTTTTTTATTTCAGTGCAACTCTCGAGAGATTTCTCTATCGTGTACGCTTAGCTTAAGTCACTCATCGTGCCTGTTCTCGTGTATGGCACGGAGGCATGGACAATGATGGCGAACACCCCAGAGGATTTAATGATGAGCTGTATGAGCTTTACAACGACATGGCCATGTCGTTCGAATGGACACCGACGATCCAGCTCTGAGAGTATTCAACTGGGAACCCGCTGGTGGTAGTTGTGGAAGAGGGAGGTCCGCTCTGCGAAGGAAAGACGAAGTGGAGAAGGACTTGGCTTCGCTTGACATTTCCAATTGGCGTCAGAGAAAAGGAACGACTGGTGTGCTTGGTTGAACTTGGCCAAGATCGCTTATGCGGTTACAGCACCAAATAAGAAGAATAAGAACAATCAAGTCGTGTACTCCAGGTGGGGAACGTTAGTTTTTCAAACAAATATTTGGGTGCCTTAGTCGGCATGACGAAATAGGGATAAACCGTTTCCAGCTAGTATATTTCTGGTTTGAAAAAGCTTATCATCAAACCATTTGCCGTTCGTAGGCGGCATAAAATTGCAAATCCCTGCATTTGTATTATAACATCAGGACACGGACCACAAATTGGCGGAGATCAGGCAAACACTTGGCAAAAGTGTAAGCGCCAAATACTCGTATTTGTTTATTTATTTCTTAATTTAGCAAAAATTCAATTTCAATTAACTTTGAAATGAT